GCAGCCTCAGGCAGCTCCCTCTCCTCCGTGAGCAGGTGCACTGAGGGCACACAGTGAGACACGTCCCCAACCCCAGCTGGGGAAGGGCGCAGCATCAGGCAGCTCCCTCTCCTCCATGAGCAGGTGCACTGAGGGCACACAGTGAGGCAAGTCCCCAACCCCAGCTGGGGAAGGGCTGCAGCCTCAGGCAGCTCCGTCTCCTCCATGAGCAGGTGCACTGAGGGCACACAGTGAGACACATCCCCAACCCCAGCTGGGGAAGGGTGCAGCATCAGACAGCTCAGGTGCATGTGAGGGGGATTCCACTTACACACGCCTGCTTGTCACATGCATGGAATCTCAGGTGCACATGTGCCCACTGTGTTTCCTGGATAACGTGAGCAGGTGTACATCGTGTGTATGAAGTTGTATGGCATGTGTGTTCATTGTATGAATGGGACATGGTGCGTGTGTGTGCGTTCACTGTGCACACGTATGTACACCACCTGCACATGTTTGTTGTATGGCTAGATCCCATGTGCATGTGTTATTCATGTGAGGGGGATGCTACACATACACACACACACACACACATTCATTGTGTGTTTGGGATCGCATGCACACATGCTTCCTCTTATGTTGTCAGAGTGTAAGTGTCTAGGAGTCAGGACATGTGATGAGGTCACTGTGACTGGCCTAGCTCAAGTGCAGGCAGGATAACAGCCTGAGGGGCCCCATACTGAAGAGCAGCACCTGCCCCAGCGACCTCCATGGGGAGCTTCACCTTTGCTCCACCTTTGCTCTTGCTTAGGCCTGGACAGCGCTCTCTGTGACAGGTCTTTCCCGGAGACTGCAGGTTGGACTGAGGGGAGGAGAGAGGAAAGCGGGCGTGTAAGCATGGCCCTGGGGCAGGTGGAACAGGAAACTAACAGTTGCTTCCATCTTTATGACTAGAAGTGAACTGTGGCAAAGGGTGGATTTTCAGATAGAACTAGATGGACCAGTCCGTAGGGCACGGAAAGCAGGACTCTATAGGACACAACACTACCTCTCCTCAGAACTGCTCTGGCAAGGCCACCTGCAGCCAGCCTTGGGCCAGATCCCATGGGCATGCTCAGACCCTCCTCTTTCCGTCTGTTGTTTCTTTATTGCTGAGGATCCTGAACTCCTTTATGACCTGTCCCAGCCCCTGACACACACTTTTCACTTTCCAGTGTCCCTTCTCCAGCCAGCTGGTGCTTCCCCTGCCTTGGAGGTTCATGCTGCTCCCCCAGAGTGGTCTGGGGCGAAGAACTGAACACGTACCTTTTTTATATAAATGACATCTCTGCATGATCTGGTCTTGTGGGTTTAAATGTCATTTATATACCAATTATCTCAAATTCCTGTCTCAAATGGCCTCTGAGCTGCCCTTCAGATGCATTTGCCCCATGACCTGCTGGGCCTCTCCTGAGATAAGTGCTCAGACCTCAAAGCCCACCCTCCCACCTGCCCCCCCTGCCTCCCCACCCCTCCCATTTGCTCTCCTCTGGCCTCCCCACGCCCTCCCTCCCTCCCTCGTGCCCCCTCCTCCAGGCCCTAAGGCGGCAGCCCTCTTCCTCACACCCTCAGACTCCTGTTGGCAAGCTCTCCTTTTCACGAGTATCCACCCAGAGCAGAGTGCCCTCCCTCCTCCACTAACCAGTCTGTGCTGCACCCACTGCCTCTCCTTGGGTCTGTCTTCAGCAGGCAAGCAGAGTGGTCTGCCAGAACACGGACAGACGCCAGGATGCTCCGTCTCAGGAGAAGCCAGGAGTCCTGCTCCCTGGCCCACTGACCCTTGTGTTCCGTGGCCCTCCCTTCTCGCCCTCATCTCGCTGACCCTCAAACTCCACCAGGCTCTTCCGTCCACTGCAGCATCTCCCAAATGTCCCCCCAGTTGACTTTCCCACCTTCTCAGGCCTCCACTCAAGCCTGCCTGCCTCCAAGCCCCCTGGAATACACGCCCCCATTCCAGCACCTCTTCCACCTGGGTGCTTGCAGCCCCTTCTCAGTTCTCTGCTTCCTAGCTCGCACCACCGTGGCCAAAATGCTGCATGTGTTCCTACTTCATGCCCTGCCTCTAACTGCACACAGCAGGCGCTCAGGAGATACGTGCTGGGCGGGAGGGAGAAGCACCAGCAGGAGGAAGGAGGGGGCATCTCTGACCCTTTCTTTCCTACGCAGCACACCTTGGATGTCAAGAGTACAGCCTTACCTGCTGCTGTCCGCTGCTCCGAGTCCCGCCTCTCAGAAGGAGGGATCTTTCTTCTGGCCAACGGTCTGAACATGTTCTTGTGGCTGGGAGTGAGCAGCCCACCAGAGCTGATCCAAGGGATTTTTAATGTGCCATCTTTTGCACATGTCAGTACAGATATGGTAAGTAGCCTTTCACTGTTTTTGTAGTAATATACAAAATTTAAATTCTTAAATAAATGTTGCATGTAATTTTATGTTACAAAGAAGAAAACAATAAGACGTAGTTTTGTATAAAGTTGAGAAATTCATGCTTTGATAAAACAGCAATTAGCGTATATGGAAGTATCTGCATAACAGGTTAACCCTCATGGTGACTTTGGTAGAACCTGCAGCACTGCCAGAGTATTCTCTGTGCCAATCCCACTGTTTCGTTTCACCCTCTACGTAGATGAGTGTTCTGCAGCTGCAGGTCCGGGCTGAGTTTCCTGTGGTGGTGTGTGGCAGAGGGGCCCAGGGCAGCTCTTGAGCTTAGGTCCCCTTCCATCATGGTCCTAAGCTGAGCACTGTGATCAGAATAGTCACAGGTGCTCAACTCTGTATCAGGTAGTGATCTGCAATGCAATACTCTCAAGAAAACAGATTTCTCCCCTTCTGTAGCAGTCATAACAGAAGTAATTGTGGGTTTGATATGGGAACAAATTCAAATATCTATCTTGAAAGTGTCTTAGGAAAACCGGCAGCCAGTTTGTTGGAGAGTCTAGACTTGCTGTGAGCTGCTCACACTGTGGCGCTGCTGCTGTGGCTCGATTGTCCACCCTGTGGCACGGGGTCCCAAGACCCTCGCTTACGGGGGTGGGATAGCTTAATTCTGGGTGTCACACCTAATTTCTGGTCTGAATGTATAGGTTAGGTATCTAGAGCATCTTGAATGAAGGGGCAGGAGTAAAATCCAGAGCTACCAAGGCAGGTGGTCAATGCAGAGAGCCTGTCTATCCACACAGATGTATATTCAACTGGCGGGTGTCCAGGTCTCACCAAAAGATTGGTCATTTAAAAATAGTAGTCTGTCTGCCTGTGGCTTCAAGTAAGAAATGGTTAGAATTGAAATTTTCAAAAAATATGAAACAAAATTAAAATTCAGTAGGCAAGAATGACCTCCTGGAGAATTTAAGAAGATTCTCATATCATGATATACTGGCTCAGAGCCAAAAGAACACATTTGCAAAACAGCCAGTCACTCCACCAGAATGGCAGGTTGGTGGGTTTGTGCTTCTACCAACACACCTCTTTTTCACCTTCTTCAAGCAATGAAACAAAACGAAAACCAAAGGAAGCCCTTTTGTTTTAGAGGAGTGGGCACCTTGAGACATACACAGGAAGCAGACTTGGAGAATTTGGGTAGCAGGACCCGTCATGAGGTTGAGGGCACATGCAGGGTGCCCCAGAGCATGGAGACATGAAGGCAGAAGCTTCTCCTTGAGGCTCTGCAGTGAGATTCCTGCTACCTCCAGCTGACCCCTGGGGCCTGGGCATCTGAGAAGGAAGCCTTAGTGCTTGAAGTCTTCATTGGGGGAACCGAGGAATTCCATGTCTCCTGGAGGCCAGGTGCAGCTGGACTGTCCCCTAAACTGCAGCCAGACTTCTGGGGACCTCAGAGGCCATACACCCTGGAGAAGCAAGTGCTTGGGGCTGGCTGCAGTGTGGGAACAGTGGCTCTGAGGCAGAGACCCCCCAGCAACCCTCTGCAGGCACAGGGTACATCTTCTGCTCTCAATACAGCCTTGAAATACACACGTGAGAAGACACTGACCCTGTGGGACACAGCCCCAGGTGTCCTTTAATAAAGCACACTCGTGTGTCACCAGGAAGGATTTTTATTCTGAAAAGACAGAGACATTGGTTAATTGTCTTTCAGTCATTTCTTTCCCACACTTTCAGTTTTCAGGTGAGTAAACCATGCTCTTCATGTTCTCATAGTCTCCTGTTGCTGGAAGCATTGTGAATTGTACTGAACCTGGTTTTCTTGAACGCAGACTGTGCTGCCTGAGGTGGGAAGCCCACACTCTCGACAGCTCCGGATGATCATGGGTGTCATCCAGCAGAAGAGGCCATATTCCATGAAGGTAGGAGACAGCTCTCTCCTCTCCTCAAGCTTTTATTTATTCCCTTGAAGACTTCTGGAAGTGCATGTTCTACAATCACATCCATCTGCTTGTCAGACACATGCCCAGCAGTTCCAAGTTGGGGAACAAGACCCTCGAGGCATGGTGGCCACAGGTGCCCTTGCCAGGCCTGATGTGATCTTCCCTTGGGTGTCATTAGAGGAGGACCATTCAGAAATTCATGATATCTGATTTTTTTTCTTAAATAAAGGGGTGGAACTGAGGTAAAGGGAACTAATGAACAGCCTGCTGCCTCCAGCGTGCATCTGGGTGAACACTGGCCCAGCGCACCTACTGTGGTCTAAGGACAGGACCTGGAGGTGCTGAGGGGTCACATGTGGGTGACTTGAGCGAGCCATTCCTTCTACTGAGAGGGCACATGAGAAAGCTGGGCAGGCCGGGTGACCACTTCCACATTCTGCCCCACTCCATAAGACCATGTACCCCAGCAGACTCACAAGAGGGAAAAACAATGGGTCCCTCCTACACACCCAGTGTTGCCCCTCGTTGTGGGGGTGAGCCCTTGAGGAGCCCAGCCACCACTTCCCGAGACCCGCACAAGAATGGGCAGTTCACCTTTGCAGAGCCTCTGGGCTGGAGCAGGGGAAGTTCAATCCTGGTGCTCTGTGCCCCTCAGTCCTTGGCCAGGCATTTCCCACCCTGTGAGAACCCAAAGCAAAAATAAATACCCACCAGGACAACTAGCACCAGTTCCTCCACTAGTCTCCACATAGACAGCGAGTTCTAAGACCTTGGCCCTGAGGCCCCTCTCCCCACAAGGTCCCATTTCCGCCCTCCGTCTTAAGTTGCGCTGGGGAGGCTGGACCACACTGCGCTGCCCAGCCTGGCAGTCACAGTGGCATGGGGAGCAGGTGGGCAAAGCACACAAGGAAAGTGGCCAGGGCGAGAAGTCTCCACAAGGGCAGCCTGCCCAGCTGCAGCAGTGAAGCTGTGCACCAGTGTGGCCTCCCGTGTACACACAGCAGTCGCAGCGCCACTGCCATTCCCACACCGACCCAGTAGCCATGACACAGGGCCAGAACTAGCTGCTCACGTCACGCCATGCACCCAGGACTGCTCTTTTCCATGACATTTGACCATCATTCAGAAGAAATGAAAACATGCTTTCAGAGAGTGAAAAGTGAGGGTTGGAGATATAGCTCAGTTGGTACACAAAACCCTGGGTTCAGTCCTCAGCCACACGCGCGCGCACACACACACACACACACACACACACACACACACGCCTGAATAAGAAGCTGGGCACAGTGGGGCACACCTTTAATCCCAGTGGTTTAGGGGGCTGAAGAAGGAAGAGTACGAGTTCAAAGCCAACCTCAGCCAAAGCAACTCAGTGAGACCCTGTCTCTAAATAAAATACAAAATAGGGCTGGGGATGTGGCTCAGTGGTTGGGTGCCCCTGAGTTCAATCCCTGGTACTTGCCCCCATCCCCTCAAAAAAAAGACTTTACCCGAGAAACAAGTTGGAATGGGAGAATAACAACAAAACGGAGCCAGATCCACAGGGAGCCATCTGGTGGGGCAGCAGGGCAGTTGATGTGCTATTGATGTCATTACAGGCCAGGGGCAGCTCAAAGCTTATCAGCCTCAGGCACAGGTCAAGGCAGCAGGTCAGAACCCTTCTTTCCAACAGTAGATGAGGCCAGGGTGGATCGGCTGGGGCCCCAGCCGCGACGCACTCTTTCCTGCCCCACTTGCAGCGCTCCATGCTCTCCCAGAGGGGAACCCTGGAGGCCCTCTGTGCAGGGGAGGGGGGAGTCCCGTGAACCACTGCAGAGGTTCTCCACATTTCCTTTCTCTGTTGTCTTCCATGGCTCAGACGCACTCTGTGGCCTGTCGTGGGCAGCACAGCCTTGAAGCACTGGGCCAAGCAGGAGTAGCCTCTTGTGCCTCTCACACCCACTCTGTCCTCCACTGCCCCACAACCAGCCTCCTGTGTCCTCTTCCTGTCCAGTCTCCCTCACCTCGTTGCTGTTACATCTGCTACCAGCCCGCTGCCCCATTCTGTTCTGCACCTCACTGGGTTACACTGGCTTCAAGTCAAAGGCGTGGTTGTGTTTCTGTCTAGGAGCCCTGCCTCCTAGAGCTGTGGCCACTCACAGACTAGCCAGCTTCAGCTCAGACCTGGGCTTAAAGGCCTTGACGCCAAGCACTGCTCACCCCCATGGGAAGGCTCTCCCAGGGCCCTGGGCCTGTGAGGAATCTCCACCTCATCACTGCCACTTCAAGCCCATGTCCTGGCCTCCCGTGTAGCCAGGCAGAGCCCTGGGACGGCCCCTAACCAGCTGCTCTTATTTTCTTCTAGCTCACCATAGTGAAGCAGCGGGAGCAGCCAGAGATGGTTTTCCGACAGCTCCTGGTGGAGGACCGGGGGCTGCACGGAGGGTCCTCCTACGTGGATTTCCTCTGCTGTGTTCACAAGGAGATATGCCAGCTGCTCAGCTAGCCAGCGCTGGGTGCTGCACTTCTGGGGAAGCGGTCTCTGGGCGCCCACTTTTCTAGAAAGCAGCAGGCTCACTCTGATGCCCGCCACCCTGCAGGGACGCAGTGTGGGGTCTGAGAAGGTGCCCTCGTGTCATGAAGGGAAGAGCCTATTTCTGACTGCAGTTTTTGATTTTTAAAACTGATGGAGTTTGCATTTGATGAAGAGCAGTTTACAGAACATAACATTCTCAATTTCCTTTATGCTAGATATATAAATTATTTTTCAAACTGTATAGATTTGGGGTAAAAGATTGTATTGGTTCCTCTCCTATTTCCAGTGAGGGGAAAAACTTAATTTTTACATTATACCTAATTTTTTAAAACCACATAGCTCCATTGAACACACTTTTCAATTAAGATTTGCAGATTTTAATAATGTGGATTCTATCTAGTAGAAGAATGTATGCTCTACTTTTTTTCATAATTACATACTATCTTTGTTTAAACTATTTTCCAGTTGTTTTGTCTTAAAACTGTATTAATATTCTTAATAGTTCTTTGTACAATTTTGGCAATTTCTACCTGTATATAATGGATCTTTACCAGTATCAATAAATCACTTCATATAAAAATTTAATGTGTAGAATCACTTTTATGTATTTGGAGATTAAAAAAAAAAAACATGAAGCACTAAGCAAACCAGGTAGCAAAATTGTCCTTTTTATCAGGGTTGAGGATTGTTAGGCAATAAACCTAGGAAATGTCAGACAGCATACTTAAAAAGGCACTTTTGAAGGTCCTTGACTGTGTCCTGTGGGTACAGTAAGCAGAAGTTGATCCCGAGGGAAGCTGATCCACGCTGACGAAACGTCATGCCAGGAGTGGCCAAGAGGGGCCTTGGGCATCCGTCCCAACCAGGAACAGGTATAACGCTGGTGGAGAGCGGAACACACGTCGTGTTCCAAGAGCTGCAGTGCCCGTGAACGTTTCTGTGGCAGACCTGACCCTGTTATCAGCCCACTCACACTTGGAGCAGGCCGTAGGCAGCCAAGGTCGTGCCAGACTCCATGGCTCAGCAGGGCTGTTCATCAGCTGGCAAAGGCTGCAGAGGCCAGTAGAGCAGCAAAGACACGGCCAGGCTGAGCCCCCAGGCCTGCAGCTGGTGTGTTTCAGGTGCACTCAGTGGTTTAAGAAGCACTGCAAGGTCTGCAACCCGAGTCCAGGACATGCACGCCTGCCTGCCAGATGCCCTGGGAACAGCTGCTGCTGAGAGTCGATGGGGAGCTGGTCACCCTATCAGTGGGAGAAAGCAAAAGCCCTCTCAAGCTTCTTCAGTGCACTAAAACCCCAGCATAAAATGGAAATGTGGGCAATCTGAGTGGCCACTTGCCAAAAATGGGGTAAATACATCTGAAGTGTGAGGTGTTCTGAAGCAGTGCTCCTGCCCCAGCTGGAGGCAGCACAGAGGAGGGGGGGCTGTGCAACCTAGGAAGTCAGATCACTGGAGCCAGTAAATGCAAAGGACTTAGGCTTCCTGTCTGTTAGACCATGTGCATGTTTGCTGCTGCTAGTATCTTCCCTGCTAGGGCTTTTATTAATCGGCAGAGGGTGAGGAAGGCTGGGATTAATCTAGCTCCTAGCTGTATTTGCTGTGTCACAGATATTTTAATTGATGGAGCTACTAGCTGTAAGTAACAGTTTAAGGGACGAGAAGCATGGGCCACAACGCCTTAAGTGTTAACCACAAGAACCTCTCAAGAATTCCGGATCAGATGTCAAGGAACCATTAGGAAGAGTTCACTCTCTCAAGAAGGCTTATGTGAACTTCACGTCCCAGAAATCTAACCTAATGACAACTGGCTGAGAGTAAATAAGAAAGATCTGTCACTAATTTTTCACTTTGGCCAGATGGAAACATGTCCTATTAATAGAATAAGAAATCCAGGTCCAATTCCAGCTTGAGTTTTTCCAACATGGAAAAGGACCTGAAACTGGACTTAGAAGCTCCAGGAGGAGGCACCATGCGCCTCCCAGGCCCACACCGGGCTCTTCTAGACCTCTACTCCCAGCCCTGCTGGGAAGTGAAGGGTCATCCTTTGTCTAGTAGTTGCCTCTGCTTGGGCATCAGTGCTGACCACACAGCTTCCCAAGACTCTGGGGCGCCACCTGCACCACCCCAGCCCTTCTACACTCCCAGTCCCTGTGCCTTCCCTTATAGGAGGAATACGGTTTTCTCCCCTTCAGGCTATTATTAAGGAGGAGGTATAGATGTGGTTTAATCACTCTCTTGACAGGTGGTGTTTGGCAGAAAAGTAACTAAAACCTTATGTCCTAAGGAAAGAGTCACGTTTTAAAATTTGGTCAGTCCACAGGAGTTGACTCTGTTCAAGATGGTTGATAACTAATAATTCATTGGAAATTACTGTTTCCTCACCCTCCCAGACAATGTTCTTGAGACAGAGGGAAAGCCCTTTTAGAAAAACAGGCCCCCTATTCAGCAAGAAAGCACGAGCAGAATGGAAAAGGACCTAGGAGGCTGAAGGCCCTGGCAACCACTCCAAGGGCCATGGGGAGGGCCCACTGACTAAGCAGTCACCACTTGCACAGGGACACGCTGAGAAAGGAGCCTGTTGACTTCATGTAACGCAAGCCACAGACTCATTCCCCACAGCCAAAGGCAAAGAAAGGCAGACAGGCAGGTGTGGTGCCACCGCAAACTCAATACGGAAAAGTGGGAGCAGCCTGAGACCCTGGTGCCATCACGACTGTGTCAGGGAAGGGCTGGGACTTGAGATATGAGGAGCTGGTTGGCTCACATCTGGCATCAGTATCTACTTTTTTCCAAAGTTTGATTTGGAGTTATTATAAATGCAATATTGTTTTCTTTCCCTGTGGTGTTGGGAACGGAACCCTGAGCCCTGTGCAGGCAAGTGCACGCCCACCCCAGTATTCTTAACCATGCATATACTTTGCTTTCAGTCAGCCTCACAGTAGTAAAGTCAGCTGCTCTCTTCAGCCCCTATTTACCACTGAAAGCTTAGCTTCTTAGGGTTCTAAGTTTCACCTGAATTATGGGCAACAGCATTACATCAGGGCCTTTTAACAACCCACAAGTTGCCTTGAAATGCACAAGCCTATAAAATGGCAGCAGATTGGATCATTAAACCTCCACAAACTACCGGCCTGCAGACATCTGCTTTCCAGAGGCAACGGCTGCGGCCTACCACACAACGTGAGTCCTCCAAGGGGCTGAGCACAGCTCAGACTGACTTCCGCTCCCTCCCAAGTGCACTTCAGAGCTCTGCAGACTAAAGCCAAGTCTTTAACCTACATGCTATGACTTTAAAGGTGATGGTTTCTCGTACTTCCTTTTAGTAAATTTGATCCCAGTATTTATTTTTTAAAATTTTGGGGTACTAGGGACTGAACCCAGGGGTATCCTATACTGAGCTACATCCCCAGTTCTTTTTGAGACAGGATCTCACTAAGTTGCCCAGTCTGGCCTCCAACTTGTAATCCTCCTGGCTCAGCCTCCTCAGTTTCTAGGACAAGTGTACACCACTGCACCTGGCTAGGTTTTTGAACAAGCTGCTGTAGCTAACTGAAAGATACACGTTAGTGGTTAAGATCAGCAGCTTTTAAAATCAACTGCTGTAACCAATTGAAAGGTATAAATTAGCAGTTGATATGGGTACCACTCATATAACAATAGCCCTGCCACGGATGCTCACTGTAACTCCAGGTCCCCTTGGCACAACCCTGCTGGACTTTGGCACAGGAAATATGCGGTCTAATTTCTCCACAGGGATCCAAGGGCTCCTAAAGGCGGCCCTGCTATTGACCAAGACTCAGAACAGTGCTGTTGTAGTCCTGCCCCTCTATGTGCCCTGGCTCTCAACAGGCACCAAGTCAGACCCCATGATGACCCCATTTCTTGCACCCTGACCTCTTGCACTGAGCTGTTTCTCACAACTCCCTGATAAGAAAAGCAACTAAGAGTTTATTTCTAGACTGAAAATTTGGAACATGTAAATACAAAGAGGATCAAAAATCAGTTAAGGCCAGAGTTATGAACAGTCACTGGAGGCCGGAGTGAGCGCTCTGCTGTAAGACAATGCCCAGCTTTCCCGAGGGAGAAGGCGGCTGGGCCGAGGAGTCCTTCCAGCCTTGTTCAGAAGGCCAGACTACCTTTCAAAGGGATCGATTCTAGGTCTTGCGTTCCTTTCCCTTCACCTCCTCTCTCCTTGCTCTTCTCTAGTGATGGCAGGCTACTGTGCCCCAACTTTCAACCTACCAAGGAGCCAGTCCTCTCCTCCACAAGACTAATTATGAAACAGATCTCACAGGGCCTAGGCCTCCAGCCACAGCACGGTCTTGAAGGTCCAGGTATGGAACAAGGGAGAGTCCTAAGCCAGCTCTTCTGAGGGCCCACCAGGGGGCACCTGGAACTTCCCTCCAGCATTCCCAGGTCAAGCTGACCTTTGATTCTACCTCCAGTTAGTTTATAATGTCATTTCAACAAACACACTAACCAACTGGGAGACACAGCACCTGTGTCAAGAAAGGGGCTAATCAAATGCTACCAATATGCACTGGAAAGTGTAACAGGCTGAGCGAGTTGAGCTCACCGGGCTTTAGGGTGTACCTTCTATCACTCAGTCCTCATCAACCTCAGTCTTGGTGTGTGCGAGTTCCTCTTTTGTATGAGAACAGAGTGGCCACTACAATGTAGAGACCACAAGAGTTCCCTTCTAAGTCAATCCTGTTTCATCTGGTAACAACTGTAATTCCCATTTACGAAAAATAGAATCTCAAAAGCCAAAGATTTTAAGTTTCATTAGAAAAATAAGCCTAAGCTTTCATTCCCTCACCCGCCAAGTACTTACCCCTAGGTGCTCAGGCCCAGCGCCTGGCGACCAGGCATCTCTACTGGTGCCTCAGCTGCTTTTACTTTGCTTTGGAATATGAAACTGCTCTGAAGGTCCATATAAGTTCCAGCTCACAGCCACATCCTGAAATTGGATTTCTGTCCTGCTTTGTGCCTTAAGAGCAGAAGTCACCTGGAGCTACAGGACCAAGATCATGAGAAAGAGCTTCCATGTTTGTCTGCCCGCTGTGTCCTACCTCCTCCTTATCCTGCCTGGCAGCTCCACCTCACCTCTCAGATTTGGAACTGGAAGGAGGGGATTTTGTTCAAAGTCTCTTACTTTCTTCAGTACTCAAATTATATTGGAATTTATTTAAAATGTTTTTTAAAAGGAAGAAAATGCAGTATGCACTTCTTTTACCATTTCAACAAGGAAATGCTGAACCCCCGCAGATGGGTTCCGAGTGCCCCACTCCACCATGGCTGCAGTCGTCCCCCACTTGCTGTGATTGCAAAGGAAGGATGTGCCGTGGACTCCCTTCAGCTCCAGCCTGATTCCAGACCGCATCTTCCCACTGTCCACCCACTTCCAGAAAGCAGAAGCCTCTGTAACTGTTTGAAATCAGAGTGAATTCAGTCCTGAAAGCGAAGCTATCTGAGTTGTTCGTCCTGCTCAATTGCACGCATGCATGAAGACTGCTCACCCCGAACAAAATGGCGCAGGTAGGACACCGGTGAGGAAGTTTGCAAGTTGCTCCTGGCAGACAAAGCGGCCAGAACAAAGGCGAGGGGGACTGAGTCCTGAAAGTAAGTCTCCCACCCAAAGGCTAGAGGGGCTGACATCTCTAAAAATTACCGAGGGGGAAAGCCACCTCTGTGTGCTCCTCCTCGACCTCCCCGAAAGCCGCCCCTTTCTCCCCGGAAGTTGGATCGATTTCTTTCTCGACCACGACCAGCTGAAGTTCCCCCCCTTCCTCCTCCTCTGGGAGCACCACCACCCCGATCAGACTTAGATTTGGGAGGAGGTGACTTTGGTCGAAGTCTCTCAATCTCCTCTGTACAGCCAGTCAAGTAGGAATTAGGGGCGCTGAAGTAGGATGCGTATGTCTCTGCATTGTAGTTGCTGTTTGTCAGGGTTGGTCCAACTGTGAGCCAGCCTGAAAAGGAGGAAGACAGACAACCCATTAATCTGCACTCCCTTGCTGACCCTTCAGGGGTGGGCTAAAGGCCCTGTGCATCCTTAGGATAGCCCTTCACTCGCCCCACAACAGCGGCCTCCCTTACGGAACAAACACCACTTAATCACGGTCACGTTTTAAGGACTTCACACCTGTCAATCCTGTTTCTTCTGCAACATGCCTTTTGTAATACATCCTCCTCACTGTTCCCCATCCATGTGAGATGGCACTTATATACTATACTGAGTTTGGAATCAGTGAAAATATAATAAATTACATATAACTTTGCTCTTCATGCCAACAGGACCATTTTTTTTGTGATTAAAATCTCAGAAGCAATTTTTGCTCTACTCTTCACATCCACAAAATATTTCCAGTGGATAGGTCCTAGAAATCCAAGAGGATAAATAAATGGCCAAGGCTGTGAAGAAATGTTTAACATCAAAAATCATCAAGAAAATGCAAATCAAAACCACAACAAAACGTCATCTCACCCCAATTAGAATGTCTATTGTCCAAAAGCCAAGAAATAACAAATGCGGGTGAGGATGCAGACTAAGGGGCCCACACACTGTTGGTGGGAAGGTAAATTAGTACAGTAACCATGGAAACAGTGCGGGGTTCCTCCTAGACTAGAAACACTCCACAGGAGAGACCCAAGGGCACTAGAAACAGGAAGTCGAGTGACCTGCCCAGGCGTGCTTGCCGCAGCACTGTTCACCACAGCCGTGTGGCAGGTCCAACACACAGCAGCAATGTGGTGCAGCTCAGACACCAATGAGCCAGATGAGCACTGCACGATCTTATCAATAGGAGGAGTCCGGGAACAGAATGGCCCTTATGTGTGGCCTGGGAGAGGCATGGGCTGGGCAGAGAGGCCCAACAGGTACAGAGTACAGTGAGGAGGAGCAGCTCTAGTGTTCTACAAGGCGCAGCAAAGTAGCTATGGCTGACAACCGAATACTTAAAAACAGCAAGTAGAGAGATTTTCCACGTTCCCAACACAAAGAAGTAATATACACCTGAGGTGAAAGATCTGCAATTACCCTGACCTGATCAGTACACACTGTGTACACACACATACTAAAATGTCACTGTACCCTGATGATGTGCATAATTATTATAGACAATTAAAAATATATCAAAAAAGGGCTGGGGATGTGGCTCAAGCGGTAGCGCGCTCGCCTGGCATGCGTGCGGCCTGGGTTTGATTCTCAGCACCACATACAAATGTTGTGTCCGCCGAAAACTAAAAAATAAATATTAAAAAATTCTCTCTCTTAAAAAAAAAAAAAAAAAAATATATATATATATATTTTTATCTCAAAAAAATAACTGAAGAAGACTTTTAGGGGGGTGAAACCACTGCACCCGGCACTGAGTGGTAGAGAAAATGTTGCTGGCTGATTATATAACAAGTGTCCCGCACCAGTGGGGAGCCCTGAAGAAGGGAGGTGAGGCACCTGCAGAGCAGGGATGAGACGGGAAATATCTGCACCTCCCTCTAAGTTGGCTGCAAACCTAAAACTGCTCATATCTGAAGTACACCAAAAGGAATCAAACACGTAAAAACTTCACCTTACTACCTTACTCTCTTTTTTAAAATACATATCCCAAGGAATCACAGGGTCTTTTTTTTTACTGAGGTCCTACCTGGTCGAATTGTACTATCTCTTCCAAACAGATGAAGACGTCTTCTACCAAGACAAAAATGTTCAATTATATGAAAAATTTCCACAGGTTTTTCTATATTTCCAATCTCAGGTTCTTCTGTAATAATCAAGTCAATGTCGACATTAGCATGAATGAAGTCCCCGTCTGTGCTTCGCTTCACGGTTCCTTTGATCCCCATGAGGCAGTGTTCCTGCACGGTGAGAGCACAACAGCACACTTTCTACCAAGTCATGTCTCATAGCTTTCCTCAATTCCAAAACAATCTTTGTTTCTGAGTCTTTGGGATACAGTTGAGGGTGTCTGTCCGGGTGACAGGAAACACAGAGTGTCTTCTACACCATCCCTCATAACACTTAACCCCCAGAACTCGTCACCGCTGAAGAGCCCAGGAAAGGGACATTTCCACCACATTAACTGAACAGTAGATACTGATTTGGAAATGCTTGAGAGAAAAATATGAGAGTAAAGAAAACAAAACAGTAGAAGCCATACCTTTGTTCTCTGGAAAACAGCCTTGGGATCTAAAGTCTTCGTCTTCCCAGGATTGTTTTTGTTGGTTTTAATCCAACAAATATCTTCACATCTTCTGTAACCCCACTTGCGTAAACACTAGAAATATAAGAATTAAAGACAGAAATCCTGAACTTAAATAAACAATACTCAAAATGAGCAACCAACACTAAAGACCTCACTAAGTTCCAGAGGTCATGGTAATTGCCTTAGTGCAGACAGAAGAAAGAAATGCCAGTCTCAAAGCAGTCTCAAAACCAGAGCCATAATAGAGTTGTACTAATGTGAAACACACTATTAAATACCATGCACTGAAGCACTGCATTCTGCCCCAAAGGTTTAGTCAGAGTGAGCATTCCCAGTTAGAAAATCTGACACCTGAAATGCTTCAAAATTCAAAACTTTCTGAGTACCAACAGCTCAAATGGTTTCAGATTTCACAGCATTTGGATTTTGATTTTGGGATAAAGGATGCTCAACCTGCTAAGTCTGCAAATAGTCCAAAATTTCAAAACCTCAAAAATCAGAAACACTCTAACCCCAAGCATTCTAGATATATATAGTACCTGTATTACCTTTCATTGTCAGCAATAGGTTTTTTAACTAAAAGGAAACAGAGACCCTACATAATCACAAAATAATCCAAAAGATAATTTGGTTTCTGCCACCTTCATTTTTATATAATCACAAAATAATTCAAAAGAGAATTTGATTTCTGCCACCTCCATTTTCTATCTTCTGACAAATGTAAACACTGTTAAAACTTTTCAAACTGATTCAAACTGTTAACTTCTGTCAAATGAGAATCTAATAAAACCTCATTTCTACATACAAAAAGTTCAGACTAAAGCTGCTGTGCATCTGTCTTCATTGGGTAAAACCTTATTCTGTCTTCATGCAATTCAGAAACTAGAGGTATGAAGCTCAGTCCCATGAGCATGCAGCAACAGTGGGGAATCCATGACAAGCAGGTGCAGGCTGGAACTGAAACATGCACAGGGCACAGTTGCCACAGAGTCAAGAGGGGGACAATGAACCAAGCAACATAGCGCTGCTGGTGCTGTGATCTAGTACAAAGATGCAGCAAAACACAAAACATGTGCTTCCTGGAATGTTCTAAAGTGAGGAAGACCTCAAACTGAGATTTCTTAAATCTTTAAAATCTCAAAAGATCAAGGTCAATATAAGAGTCCCTCTTATCCACAGGGAGATGTTCTAAGACCCCTGGTGGGTGCCTGAGACCAGAGAGTACCGAACCCTACTAATTTTAAATCAGGCATAGTAAGAGATTAACTTTTCTTTTCTTTGGTTGGTGGAGGGGCGGTACCAGGGATTGAACTCAGGGGCACTCAACCACTGATCCACATTCCTATTTTGAATTTTATTTAGAGACAAGGTCTCACTAAGTTGCTTAGTGCCTCACTTTGGCAGAGGCTGGCTTTGAACTCATGATCTTCCTGCCTTAGCCTCCCAAGCTACAAAAAAAATAACTATTAAGAGAAAAATTACTACAATATATGTAAATAAAAAGGTATGTGATGTAGTCTGTCTTTCCCCTTCATGTTGCACACAAATCACCCTGACAACCCAGATGGTCCCTAAGAGAGGAACAAGCAGGTGGCATACATAACACATGCATAATTGAAAACTTATAAATTCTGGAATTTTCTATCTAATGTTTGCTGACCATAGAAACCAAAACTACAGGGGTGAGGGTTGAGGTTATTTGTTTCTGTTGCAAATATTTGGTTTTTGCTGGGCACAGTGGTGCACATCTATGATCCCAGCAACTTGTGAGACTGAAGCAGGAAGATGCAAGTTCAAGATCAGCCTCAGCAAGGAAAGACCCTATCTCAAAATAAAAAAGGCTAGGGATGTTGCTCAATGGTAGAGCACCTCTCGGTTGAATCCCCAGTACTGACAAAAATTTGTTCTGCACTGGATGTTCATAATACCACCACGGTCTAAATCCCAAATGACCTAATCCACTAATTTACCGAAAGTTATTGTATTGTAATCATTTTGGCCAAACTGTGCTTTCACCAATGAGATGCTCTGCTCCATAAATGAAAAAGACAAACCCTTCTAGTCATTTTTTAACTTAATTTGGGGCTGGGGATGTGGCTCAGTGGTAGAGCACTTGCCTAGCATGCAGAGACCCTGGGATAAATCTCCAAAACTGGAGGGAAAATTTTTAAAAAATAAAATAAAAACACATCAACTGAATTTGACGGTGAGGAGGAAACCAAAGTCAGACATTAGAACCAGAAAAGGTAAATACCACTAGGCCTATAAAAGCAAACAGTGTTCCTTTCTCTCTACTTTCTTGTTTTTCCACAGCACCTTGGGGAACTACTGCTAAATAAATGGACAGACCCAGCTGGAATACAATCATGGTCTAGCCTTGGAACCAGCAAATGATGGAAGCAGCAATGCTACCCACCAGCCTCAGCTCACTACTTCTAAAAAAGAACAGAGTGACCACAGAGCTTCAGTGTTGGAGCACAGATTTATCTCAGTATACTCTTACTTGTAATCTCACATAATTATGCTTAAACTCGTCAGCCACCTCCCCAAATCAGCATGGCTGAATAAGACGTCTGCTGCATGACAGGAAGTGTGTCCTCAGAGTGGGAAGTCTAATCCCATAACATGTGTCTAGACCCAAGACCCACAAGACCAAGTGCCTTTGTGCTGGGGAGCAGTTGAGCTGATTCCTGATCCCAGCTGCAATGCTCGTGCTATTCTTCTTGAACAGTTTATTATTGTGTTTCTTTTGGCACAGAGAAGCTCTGATATAACTGAAAATACATTAAAAGTGCTATAATTACTTTCTCTTTTTATTCATTCAAATTGTTTCAAATGCAGTTATTATTCCAGTTTGCCTGTCATTTACAATTCAGGAGTCCAAGCTATTCAGAGCAACACTTTTTAGCTAATTATAAGGAACCATAAATGACACCAAGCTCATTTTTGTACTATAGTTTGGAGCTTCAAATCTCTAAAATACTGTGTTCTTACAGCTGTGACAAACATTTTTGAAAGAGCTGCATTCTCCCCAGTAAGCCTTAGCTGAGTCAGGGGTATTGTTTTTTTCTTTAGCATATTTAAAACTATTCAAGACACAAAGAACAAAACAACATTAATCTTCAAATGTATTACACAGTATATTTTTAAAAAATTTTTTTAGTTGTAGATACACAAAACTTTTGTTTATTTTTATGTAGTGCTGAGGATTAAACCCAGTGCATCACATGTGCTAGACAAGCGCTCTACCACTGAGCTACAACCCCACCCCTAATATATTGTTTTATATTTTATAAAAACAGCATCTCACCACTCTTCCAAGGTCCAATCCCTCTCCAGAACCACACCAGAGAAATATAAATGACCGGGGTGCTGCAATCTCATCAATTTCTAACTTCATGATCTGTAAGAAACCAAACATATGTGAAATATTATACACAAAATATGTACAAATATTTTGTTTCCTATTCATCCCACATTGAAACTAATGACCATCAATTGTTCCTGTACCAGAATTCTCAGTAGATATGTTCTTTAAATGTACCCATTAGGAAATAAAATTGATGGAAAATCAATTTCATCCTAAAAAAAAAAAAATCACTTGTTCTCCTGTTTTTTTGTTCGTTTATATACAAGCAACACACACCCATATGTCAACACACGCACCTGCGAGCACACGGATACACATATATACATAATACACACACACACACACACACACACACACACACACACATTTTTATATGGAAAGAATAAACAGGAAATTGCATTTTCAGAATTATGGCATATGACAGAAGTTGAGAGGTACATAAGCAACATTATACTAGAAAAAAGAAAATGAAATGGAATGAGGTTAAATGAGCCCAGAGTTAGGGGCAAAATTAAAATGAAATGTAATAACAAATGTTTGGAATGTACTATGATTTTGTTATCCATAAGAGTACTTCTCCCTGCAATCCCAGTGGCTCGGGAGGCTGAGACAGGAGAATTGCAAGTTCAAAGCCAACCTCAGCTAAAGCGTGGCACTAAGCAACTCAGTGAGACTCCGTCTCTAATAAAATAGAAAATAAGGCTGGGGGTGTGGCTTAGTGGTCAAGTGTCCCTGAGTTCAATCCCTAGTACCAACTTAAAAAAAAAAAAAAAAAAAAAGAATATTTCTCAATAAATCAGTATGCAGTGTTTTCTTATGATTACTTTAAGTCTAAAATGCTCTCCCCCGTTCCATTATCGTTTTCCTTGAATGTGTTATACCACAGTACATTTAAAAAAAAAAAAAAAGTCCTTCAATAATTAAATCTCTACATTGTGAGCAGTGACTATGCAAGCAACAAATTTATATGACATTCTTTTCCTTTTGGTTTTTTCTAAAGTTAAGAAATTTCTGAGACCATGGTTCATGCAAGAATTTATCAGTTTCATTTATTAAGAAAACCTTAATTTCTACCTCAATCAAATCAATGTTAGTTAAAACCATTCCATCTCTTAAATCAAAGACATTTTTAACAGTAAAAATGAAAATAGCAGATGTATAGACCAATTTTTTACACTTTTTACACTGATGTTTTTTAAGTCTTAAAATCTCTCCTCATCCAATATGCTCATGATACAATAACCTTTTATCAAATATAAGAATATGAATAAATACACATAGTACATATACACATATATTCCTACATATCTTTAAGTGACATAGCTATAGATAGGTGAAAACATATCTAGAGAAGAACAGTTAGTAAATTAATTATTCTCTAAAGCTACCTGTGGGTATCTTAAATAAGTGCTTATGTCCCCCAGTTAAAACCCACCGACCACTACTGGCTGTCTAACATGAAAATGAATACTTGTGAAAACCAACAATTTTCTCATTCACATTCTGCCTTCTACAGTAACCCCTGGCCCTTTCTTCAGAATAATGCCACATAAAAATTAAGAGCTTAGCAATCTGGGGGCCAGGCAGAACTTTTCAATACACCAGCCAGAGCTGAAATCAGTGAAATTAAATTCCAATCAAGACTTTACATACACAACAGCTGAGTCTGTTATGTGTAACTGAAGCTCTGTGCCTTTAAAACCAAACCTCACAGACTGGCCAGAGAATACAGAGTTCAACCCAGTGTGAATCCTAAATGTGATAAAACTCAACGCTTAGATTTTCTTTTCTTTTGACTAAACTGACAAAGGTGTTTTCTTATTACTACTCAGTTTTGATGAGAACATGAGAACTCGAGATGGTTAAACACCTCTAGGAATGTGAATGTGTAAAACCAATATGGAAAACTTCTCAGTTACTAAATCTTTTTGTCTGGGTAATACTACATTCTATACACTTTTCTGATTTTTCAACAATGAGCACAAATTAAAAAACATTTTTAAAGTGGTTAAGAGCCACCAAAATGTAAATAAAAGTGCTAAGTGTATTAAAGCTAAGAGGAAAAACTTCAAGGAGGAAGAATGTGTTATTTCGAACAACAACAACCATTAAATGAGAAAAAACCAAGCACCTTTCTACAAGGCACCAGGCTATGACTGCAGCCCTTCCTGACCCTGCCTTCTGCGCAAGACTTTCTAACTCTTCTTGAAATCTGCTGCTGCTTGGTTCCTAGGGCATTCCCTTTCTCCTGGTTCTCCTCACTTATCTCTTTTTTATATTTCTTTTATATGTGCCTCTTAAATATAAGTGTTTCCCTAGACTTCACTGTTAGTCCACTTTTATCTTATCTGTGACATTATCCTAGAATAAACTCATCTGTTTACATGAGATAAAGTGCTTATCCTCCAACATCTGTCTTCTGAAGACAGATTGATCTGTTCTTTAAGTTTCACACTCTTCCACTTGAATGTCCCACATACACCTGAAGTCAACATGTTCAACGTTATCAAGTCCATCTAATTCTGCTCCTATTCTTAAATTCACTTACCCCTCATCCCACACACTTAACCAAATGTATCTCCTGAACTTTACTAAATGTATCACCTTCCTATTATCACCCTAATTTAAGGTCCCATCATCTCAGGACTAGGTTACTCCAAGAGACTTCTAACTGTCCTCCCCATTACTTCCTTGCCTCTAGCTCAACCTCTACACACTAATCCAATGTTCTTTCTTAAACTGGTTAAAACCTTCAAATACTTTGTAATGTTTTCAGAATGAAAGTCAAGCTCCTAGAACAGATCAATCTATGTCCAACGGGAGTAACACACAGGAAGACCTGCTCCACCCCACAAGCCAGTCGGTGGCCTCCATTCCTCTTGTTCTTGCAATTCCTTCTGTCGAAGCCTGTCCAATATCTTCCTTGCCTGGCTAACTCAACTGTTCTGATGTCATCTTCTCAGAGTTCACATGTCCCACATTGCTAGGCTGGGCCTTATTCTCAGGTCATCTCATGCAGTCCTCCATTACTAAGCCAATGAAACTGCAAGGCATTCACTGGTTTTGAGCAATGTTCACCCTGTTAAACTTTAAGGCAGAATACCAAGTCCTGTTCTGTCTCCAAGCATTACCTACTAGCATTGTTCTTGGTGTGTGGGGCTCTCATTACTGGTTGTAAAACAAGACACTTGTGTAACTAATTCAGGTTAACACCTTATTAAACTTCTTTTACCACCTGTTGAGTGAGTTAGCAATCATTCTACACTCTTTTATGCTTTCCTAGCTATATATCCAAGTACCCTAAAACCAAGAATGAGTCTTCTACAGTTTACACTCACTAATTGCCCAATTTTTGCTTCAAAAAGAAGAATCAAATTAAATTTATGTACTACCTCTCAGTGCACCTTGGACACTCCTTCATAATACATACTTTAAACCTGTATTTATAATCTCTACAAAAGTAGAGATGGCATATGTGGTCTTACTTTCTATCACATAAATGTGTATTCATTTGAAAAACAGAAAACCCAGCAAAACATGAACACTGTCACCGTACATCATCCCATGTCCAGCATCTCTCATTGGCAGTGATGCCGGTCTCTCTGTAATACTCTTCCAAAGGTGGCTCCAGGAGAATCACATCAAACTTGGGTGTCAGTTCTCTAATGTCAAAGGCTTCTATATCTGCTTGTAAATACCTGTGTGATTAAGGCAAAAACAAACAAGTAAAAGATTTTCAAATACTTTATAGATGGTAATAAAATTTCTTAAATATTAATTAACATTTCTTATTAATCATAAGATAATTATTCAAAGTCTTTTTATAGCACAATTTTCTTTCTTCAGCACAGAGATTAAACCATCTACCAGAAAGTCTTCCTAGGACACAGACACAATCACTACAAAGCAAAAATAAATATTCCCCATGGATATCTGGACTCTTATATTGACAATGTATACTGGGATGTGCATCTCTGACCCCCTGTCTATTATCATCTGACTTTCCTAAGGAATTTTTTTTTTTAAATGTTGATGGACCTTTATTTTTTCATTTATTTATTTGTTGTGCTGAGAACTGAACCAGGGCCTCACACATTCTAGGCAAGTACTCTACCACTGAACCACAACACCAGCCCCTCATTGTTGTTGGTTTTTTTCTTCAGTGCTTCAGCTAATTTAAG